GGTACAGGCTGAATATCCATAACCAGTTTAACAGAGGCACTGGGCACAGCTATGGAGGGAGGAAATGAGTGTCAGATGTACCGGGCGACTTTGGAGGAGGCAGAAAATGGGCTAGGAAGAGCAAGCTCGTGGTGAAATCACAACCTCTTTAATACCCCAAGTACTGAAGCACACTACCCCCCCCCCCCCCCCCCCCCACACCCAAAGCAGTTGGCATCTGCTTGGACCATGACTTGTTTCCATTGACAACTGAACAGTCAAGCTTTTAAAGGCAGTTAATGGATATGGACAAGATTCAAGGAGAAATGGAAGTGAGGGAGTATCTGTGAATAAAAAGAAATTCAATTTTATATGTAGCAGGTCGGCTTATTAATATACTTGTGATGGTTCTGATAGGTCAGGCATCTCTGTCCTTGTTTCTTATTACATAACATACCTGCCATGTCTTCCATTTGGGCCAGACTACTGTACCAGGCAGGAACTATTCTAGAAAATTTTGCATCCACCATTGTGCATATAGTCAGTCATCCTAGCAAAATGTTGGTATAGAAAGTTGCTCCGTAGAGTCTATGGAACCCTGAGCCAGCATCCGTGAGCAGTACCCAGGATTATAGTCAGCTCCATTGACAATGTTGGAAGTGGGCTATGGTAAAGTGATGGAGCACTTGCATGGCCGAAGCCCCAGTTAATCTCCAGCTCTGAGGGTGGGTGAGTAATTTATCACTATTTGGAATAGGAAGGTCTTATTCTTCTTTTTATTTATAGTCCCTATCTGTTTTCTCCCAGTAGATCACCCTCCACCATGCGACCGTCAGAGTGTTTCAAATCAGAACTCATCACAGTAAACATGCTTGTGAAAGTGGCTCTTAGAGTAGGAGCCCCAGAAACAGGTTTGGGGAACAGGGTGACAGATGTCTTAAACCTCTAGCATTACCCGAAGATTTCTTGTAAAGAACATCAGTGGTGTTCACTGATGTAAATAGTGTCTGTTGCCTCAGGAATTTAATGCAACTTTCTGAGAGGCAAATAGAGTGTAAGCATTTTGTCACTATGTAGGTTGGTCATTGGCCCTACAGAAGTGAGGAAGCATAGGCTGGAGGGAAGTGCCACAGGGCACTGGCCTGCTAACCCTCAGTCTCCTTGCTTGTATAGCTGCTATTTATGATGGGTTTGAAGCTTAAGTGGGCCAATGCTTGGAAAGCAATGGGACAACCACATGGAGTTACAACCGCTATTATTACCATGTTGTATGCAAATAAGTTTGCTCAAGGTAGAATCTACTAAATGGCTTATTAAAAAAAAAAAGAATTCCATACTCTCAAGGACTCATTCATTTTCTTAACAATTACAAGTTCTCCAAAGGCAAAGGCTTTACAGTACCACTAGTGGAGTACTGTAAGACCTAATCCCGTGGCTCCAAATACACCTTAGAAATACTGTTCAGGTCCTAACTATGTTAGTCACTCTTTTTTGCTGTAAAAACAAACAAACAAACAAACAAACAAACAAAAACATGCTGACCAACAGCACCTTAAGTCCATAGTGGCATGGGGACAGAAGCAAGAAACTGAAAGGTTACATCATATCAACTCCTTTAGGATGGAGAGGGAGGGAGGGAGAGAGAGAGAGAGAGAGAGAGAGAGAGAGAGAGAGAGAGAGAGGGGGAGGGAGAGCGAAGGGGGGAGGAGGGAGTGAGGAAACTGGACAGGAAGTGGTAAAACAGGACCCCAGACCTTACTAGGCCCCTAGATTGTAGCACAGCTGACTCCATGATGGAAGTACCATTCAGACTGTAAAACTCAGCACATAAATAGCACTCCCTGCCAAAAACTAAAACAAAGGTCTAATCCATCAAAGTTCATAGTTCTAGGAAAGTTCTCAAAATGTACTAACCTTGCCTTTTAGCTTCTGTATTTCTGCTTCTGGCTAACTGTTCTTGTTAAATGAAGTATGTCAACCCAGAACATGGTATTTGTGTTTAAAGACTCACCCTGAGAAAGGTTCAGGGCTACATTGGGCTCTCAAACACCGAACTAGCTAATAAAGACTTTCTATTGGTTTAAACCCATGTTGGAGCAGTCTTCTCTGGTGAATACCCTACAACAATAGAGGGAGGCTATAAACTCTCAAAGCCCTCCCCAGTGACATACTGGCTCCAGCAAGGCTCCATGTTCCACAACCTCCCCACACAGAACCACCAACCTTTGACCAAGTGTGAACCTTTTGAAAATTACTGACTTGTTCCCTTGAAATCCTTCTATGTAGTTGATATTTGCATATGACAGAAGTTCAATAATTATTCAAGACAACACTCAATTTGTTCAGTTGTTTCTCCAATTTATATCAAACACTATTGGAGGTATCAGGGATACATCTGATTGCTTAGCTTCACTCTTAAAAGAACTTTTTTTTCATTCATTTATTTAGGTCATAAATAAAGTCATGCACAATTATGATACACAATACAGTATGTTCACAATGGCATGGCTAAGTTAAACCAATTAACATGTTATAGCACACATATTCAGCATTTTTGTTTTGAGAACACTTAAAGTATACTATGTCACAACTTTTAAAATATAGCATATTGTTATCAACCATATTTATCATGCTCTCAGTACACTTCAAGACTTCACAGAGTCCATGCCTCTTATCCAACTGCAGTTTTATGTTCTTAAACCAGTCGTTTAAAAGACTCACATTGAAGCCTAATAGCCACAATTCTGCTCTCTAGGCACATCTGCACACACCTTTAATTCCAGCCTCAGAGTCCAGAGGCAGGTGGATCTCTGAGTTCAAGGCCAGCCTGGTCTACACATTGAGGTCTAGGACAGCCAGGACTACACAGAGAAAGAATTGCTGTCTTGGAAAACAAACAAACAAAAGTTTAACCTCCATCTTTAATTTGACTAGATTAAGAAACACCCAATAGTTTCGGTAAAGCACATTTCTACATGTGTCTGTGAAGGCATTTCTGGGAGGATTAAAACATGGAATCTCTGAATTAAGGAATGGATTAATCCCTTGATGGTTTTATAATATGATGACATTGCTGGGGGCCTATTTAGAGGAAGTGGCTTTGGGGGGGGTGCCCCTTGGACTGTATCTTACTTTAGTTGCCAAGGTGACACCATCTAGAGCTACCTGAGAAGGGAATAGCACACGATGACGACTTGGTCAGCAGCTTCAGGGGCACTGTGCAGAAGCAAGTTTAACAGAAGCTAACTTAGCTAGGACATCCTGACCTTGGGTTCCTAGGATAGAGTTGGGCAATTTCCCATAGGATTCTCCATCAAGGAGATCAAATTCTAGTTGAACCTGAAATGGCCTCAGCAAGTGTACAAGGTGGAGGAACCTCTGCCCCGCACACCTTGCCCTGGCACGAAAGGATACAGTTTAGTGCACAAGATGAAAGGCTGGCCTTCTGGGGAGGAGAATTCACCACCCGTAATGCAGGAGGAAGGCACTGGAAGTGATGGCTATCGGTGACAGATGTGGCATGGGACAGTGTAGCTGTTCTCTTCCAATTTTCTTACCTAAGGAGGCAGCCTAGTTTAAGCCAAGATATATTATAGCAGGAGAATGTGACTCCCCCATCTCCTGTAACTCAGTAGCTGAACACATCAATGCTTTATTTCTCCTGCTCATCTGTTTC